TCTAACAGGATAACTTCTATATCCTAACATGACTTTGTCGGGTAAAGACTCTGACTAAAAACTCAAAAGGACTGACAGTGACTCCTCTGTTTCACCACGCTCACCACCGGGTCTGCGTCGCACCAAACGGCAGGCAATACAAACACCAGGAATCTTCAACTTCAATTGCTCCACTTCCACACTTAACACTACCCCAGAAATCACTCCTTTCAATGGTGTCCTGTTCCTAAGAGCAAAGCAAGAAACGGATCTTAACCCAAGTTGCGTGACACTGAGTGCCCGCTCCCTCTGGGCTGAAGAAACACAAACAACTATCACAAGTCCACTATGGGTTTCCCTCACTGATTCAACTGCACCTAAATCCTTTCCTACCCTGAAACTACAACTGGATCAGCCAAAAAGAAAGGATCCACTCTCTCCAAAAATGTCACTCCTACTGGACCAGATTCTTCTTTATCAGGTCCATCGATGCAAGGCTCGGACTCCAAGCTCTTCACAACACCTTCCACCTCACTTACCTCTCCCTCATTCACTTCCATTTCCCCTCCAGAACTCAGTCTGGCATACAGCTCACTCTGTTTGGACTTGACAACCATCTTCTTCTTTGACACAATCTGTCTTTTTTTATTTTCCTCCATATTCAGATTGACTCAACGTCTCTCTCTTCATCCTGTTCTTCCTCTCTTTTCCCCTCCATTTCTCCTCCCAAATACAATTAAACGATTTCTTGTAAAAGTACTAGACTTTTCCCAATATAAATATCTTTCTTGCCTCCTCAAGCGACGACATCTATCAAAAAGCCAGCGTCCACTGAGTTTACCAATTCCAAACTCCCGACCCAGCCTCCCCAATCTTCTATCCATCCTGTTGATAAAGATCTCTTTATCCATCCTCTGGCTGCTTTATAAGGAAATTGAGACTTTTTCTCGTTTAATTCACATTTTCTACCCATTTCTTGTGTTCTGACAAATCAAACCAGGTTGTAAAATACAAACCAACTGAAGGAGACTATCCAAAAACTGTATTTAAAAAAAGTAACCAAATCCCACTGGCCCGGGTACCGTTTCATCTGTCAACTAGCGATGCCCATTCCACTATGCACCTGGGGTTATGGTACTGTTTCATCTGGCAACTAGCGACGCCCATTCCACTATGCACCTGGGGTTATGGTACTGTTTCATCTGGCAACTAGCGATGCCCATTCCACTATGCACCTGGGGTTATGGTACTGTTTCATCTGTCAACTAGCGACGCCCATTCCACTATGCACCTGAGGTTATGGTACTGTTTCATCTGGCAACTAGCGATGCTCATTCCACTATGCACCTGAGGTTATGGTACTGTTTCATCTGTCAACTAGCGATGCCCATTCCACTATGCACCTGGGGTTATGGTACTGTTTCATCTGGCAACTAGCGATGCCCATTCCACTATGCACCTGAGGTTATGGTACTGTTTCATCTGGCAACTAGCGATGCTCATTCCACTATGCACCTGAGGTTATGGTACTGTTTCATCTGTCAACTAGCGACGCCCATTCCACTATGCACCTGAGGTTATGGTACTGTTTCATCTGGCAACTAGCGATGCCCATTCCACTATGCACCTGAGGTTATGGTACTGTTTCATCTGTCAACTAGCGACGCCCATTCCACTATGCACCTGAGGTTATGGTACTGTTTCATCTGTCAACTAGCGACGCCCATTCCACTATGCACCTGAGGCTATGGCAGGTAGCCTATATTTAGGCTACAATAGCAGCCAACAGTTAGTAGGACACATTGTTATGTTCCAGTGTGGTATGAGGGGAAATGGCTTAGCCTCAGGCTTAGGTTCAGCACCAGGTCCATTATCAGATCCGACCCATATGATTGAGTCATTGAAACCCATGTCACCTTCAAACACCTTCACACACAGCACTTTCTTAACGGGTTTGAGAAGGGTCAGGGCTTGACCGTTGAATGACGCTCGTCGGATGTGGCAGGGCTTGAAAACTATTACAGACTACAAAGGGAAGCACAGCCGCGAGCTGCCCAGTGACACAAGCCTACCAGACGAGCTAAACCACTTCTATGCTCGCTTCGAGGCAAGCAACACTGAAGCATGCATGAGAGCACCAGCTGTTCCGGACGACTATGTGATCACGCTCTCCGTAGCCGATGTGAGTAAGACTTTTAAGCAGGTCAACATTCACAAGGCCGCAGGGCCAGACGGATTACCAGGACGTGTACTCCGAGCATGTGCTGACCAACTGGCAAGTGTCTTCACTGACATTTTCAACATGTCCCTGACTGAGTCTGTAATACCAACATGTTTCAAGCAGACCACCATAGTCCCCGTGCCCAAGAACTCTAAGATAACCTGCCTAAATGACTACCGACCCGTGGCACTGACGTCTGTAGCCATGAAGTGCTTTGAAAGACTGGTCATGGCTCACATCAACAGCATAATCCCAGAAACCCTAGACCCACTCCAATTTGCATACCGCCCCAACAGATCCACAGATGATGCAATCTCTATCGCACTCCACACTGCCCTTTCCCACCTGGACAAGAGGAACACCTACGTGAGAATGCTATTCATTGACTACAGCTCAGCATTCAACACCATAGTGCCCTCAAAGCTCATCACTAAGCTAAGGATCCTGGGACTAAACACCTCCCTCTGCAACTGGATCCTGGACTTCCTGACGGGCCGCCCCCAGGTGGTAAGGGTAGGTAACAACACATCTGCCACACTGATCCTCAACACGGGGGCCCCTCAGGGGTGCGTGCTCAGTCCCCTCCTGTACTCTCTGTTCACCCATGACTGCATGGCCAGGCACGACTCCAACACCATCATTAAGTTTGCCGACGACACAACAGTGGTAGGCCTGATCACCGACAACGATGAGACAGCCTATAGGGAGGAGGTCAGAGATCTGGCCGTGTGGTGCCAGGACAACAACCTCTCCCTCAACGTGACCAAGACAAAGGAGATGATTGTGGACTACAGGAAAAAAAAGAGGACTGAGCACGCCCCCATTCTCATCGACGGGGCTGTAGTGGAACAGGTTGAGAGCTTCAAGTTCCTTGGTGTCCACATCACCAACGAACTATCATGGTCCAAACACACCAAGACAGTCGTGAAGAGGGCACGACAAAGCCTATTCCCCCTCAGGAGACTAAAAAGATTTGGCATGGGTCCTCAGATCCTCAAAAAATTCTACAGCTGCACCATCGAGAGCATCCTGACTGGTTGCATCACCGCCTGGTATGGCAACTGCTTGGCCTCTGACCGCAAGGCACTACAGAGGGTAGTGCGTACGGCCCAGTACATCACTGGGGCAAAGCTCCCTGCCATCCAGGACCTCTATACCAGGCGGTGTCAGAGGAAGGCCCTCAAAATTGTCAAAGACTCCAGTCACCCTAGTCATAGACTGTTCTCTCTGCTACCGCACGGCAAGCGGTACCGGAGTGCCAAGTCTAGGTCCAAAAGACTTCTCAACAGCTTCTACCCCCAAGCCATAAGACTCCTGAACAGCTAATCATGGCTACCCGGACTATTTGCACTGCCCCCCCACCCCATCCTTTTTACGCTGCTGCTACTCTGTTAAGTATTTATGCATAGTCACTTTAACTCTACCCACATGTACATATTACCTCAACTAGCCGGTGCCCCCGCACATTGACTATGCAACGGTACCCCCCCTGTATATATAGCCTCCCTACTGTCACTTTATTCTATTGTATATATAGCCTCCCTACTGTCACTTTATTTTTTACTTCTGCTCTTTTTTTTCTCAACACTTTTTTGTTGTTGTTTTATTCTTACTTTTTTGTTTAAAATAAATGCACTGTTGGTTAAGGGCTGTAAGTAAGCATTTCACTGTAATGTCTGCACCTGTTGTATTCGGCGCATGTGACCAATAAAATTTGATTTGATTTGATTTGATTTGATTTGAATGTGAGCTCAAGGTCAGCTCTTTAGTTGGCCAGACTCTCTTTATTAATGACTATTGTTAGTGTTGTTTTTATCTCACAATCTTGAGTTCTCCTTGTCAATTCAAGCCCCATGCCAGAGTGGACGTCGCTGGTGCATTGCATTAGTCAAGGTTGTGTGTGTAGGGCTCTTCTTTCTGATATCCACCTTTCATACAGAATGGCTCCTGGCTCCACCTGTAAGCTTTGTCCTAGCTGTAAAACTTAAATACGAGTAGTGTCTAATAAATGCTAGTTCTGTGGTACAGCTAAAGGTAACGTTAGTGTCACGATCGTCGTAAGAACCGGACCAAGGCGCAGCGTGATATGCGTACATATTTTAATGAGTACTTACACAATCAACAAAAACAACAAAACGATACGTGAAGTCTACAGGTTCACCAACACAAACCTATACAGAACAAGATCCCACAATTAACTGTGCCAAACAGGCTGCCTAAGTATGGATCCCAATCAGAGACAACGAGAATCAGCTGCCTCTGATTGGGAACCACCCTGGCCAACATAGAAAACACGAACTAGAACAAAAACATAGAAACTACAACATAGACACTACACACCCTGGCTCAACTTTTAAGAGTCCCCAGAGCCAGGGCGTGACAGTTAGAGGACAAAGAAATGAAGGAAACAGATGAATGGGCAAATAAGAAAATGAAAGAAGGAAGATATGAATCTTGGTTAATGCAGCAAACAAGCTGGTCCACTTTATTACGTTTTCCTCTAAAAATATTTATGCATTTCTAGCGTTGGGAAATTATAGGTCCTATGCACTTATTTTTAATTGTCTCATTTAAGACGATAAATCTAAATGTCATTATTTGACTGATATTTGTTGTTTCTGGAACTGATTTAGTCATTAATGATTCCAGGTACATAGGTGTGTACCCCCTGCTACTCCTCAGCAAGAGGAAGAAGGATAATATTTAGTCGTCGACTGTCCTATTGGCTCACTGCGGCAGACGCCCAATCAGAATGCTATCCCTGCTCCTCAGTTAAAGGACTAGTCCTCACAATGGGATGATGAATCAGACGTCAATGGCAGCGATCCAAAGGTTGTATGAGGCAATTGTGAAAGGTATTTGGACAGAAATATGTGTCTGTCTACCTAAAAATCTTATCCTTCAACCACCACATCCGTCAGACTGTAAAAACCTAATTCTTCCACTTACGCAATAAGTGACTAGTTTCAGGAAACTAGGCGTGTGTCACTAGTTCCCAGGAGAGGCATTTGGATGTAAACTTATTTTTTATCAAAATGTGTTTTGGGGCAGAAATGAACTTTCATGTGCCTTAATAACAAACTAGTATGCCATCTGTAAATACAAATACAATTGTTGAATTACCAGCCTAGTTGGTTTAGCCTTGGAAAAAGACAGGAACCTTCCCGCTAGCCATGATTGGCTGAGATAATGGATGCCGAGAGATGAGTTTGGATTGGTCTGCTATGTAGCACGGCTCTCTCTATAACATGAGCTGGTCAGTATGTGTAGGTAATCCTTTCTAACGTGGCTTTTAAAAAATATATATCATGTAGAACTGCAACTTGTTGCTCTCCACTTTCTGGAGGAACAAGTTTTGAAATCAGTGGAATGCTCGGTGGAAGCAGAGTATGACAGCTAAGGAGATGGAGAAAATTCTGGCTTTTGATTGCAAATATGCAGAGGAACTTGAAAAGAGAACACAGAAGGCTGTTGTATAAAACACTGGATTACGTCTTCAAACTAAGGGCAACCATGGCATCCGTGACAGAGAGGGAGAAGGGTTCATCCATGTATACGGGTAAGAGAGTCTAGCTAGCTACATTTTCAGATATTATACGTTTCTAATTTTGTCAGAAAGTCATTTTCATTGCAAGTTAAAGTGTACTGTTAGCTAGCTAACGTTAGCTTGCTGGCTCGCTAGCTAACGTTGCGTGTATGATTTGTTTAGTAATAAAAGGTGTATTTCAGAGCCATTTGCATTGCTAGTTACAGCCTAATGTTAGCTAGCTTACATTGAACCTGGTTGGTTAGCTACCAGCAGATTCATGCAGGGTAGTAACGTTACGATTTGGGATTATGGTTCATTGTTTAGCTAGCTAGCTAGCTACATGTCTAAACAAAAGACTCCACTATGCAAGAAACCATTTCAGTGTACCGTTTACAACTTATTCATCCTGTTCATGTGACACATGAACTTTGATTTTGTTTGATATAGTGTGTGTGTTTACCAGAGACGGCAATGTGAAGAACAACATGAAACTGCACCAAAGTCAAATTAGGATATAACGTTAGGCCAACGAGACAGTGTCCAAGTTATATAATCCTCTGCTAGAATGCCCTGCTTTTATTTCGTCACACTCACAACCATGAGCTATTTTCTGTAATTAGCTCGCCATTAACTTGTAAAATAATGATTTAGTTGTGAGTTTATTTTCCTGTAATAAGGAATATAAATGAGTTAAAGGGAAGACGTTGTCAGCTATATGATATGGTCATTATTGGAACTGGCTAGCCAGCTAACTTAACGTTAGTTAGACAGCTAACAAGCTAGAAACAAACCAAAACATTGTTTAGAAAGTTGCTTTTAGTCAACTGGTTTGCTAGTTTGACATTCATTTTTAAACAGGTGGGTTTATTGGTGTTAAAGAACACTAGTTATGCTATTTTGGACCACCAGGCTGCTGATGAACAGGAGACCAGATACACCACCATCATCAACCAGGTTGAACCCTGATAGCCCCCCAGGAGACCAGATACACCCCTATTATCAACCAGGTTGAACCCTGATAACCCCCAGGAGACCAGATACACCCCCATCATCAACCAGGTTGAACCCTGATAACCCCCACCCCCCCAGGAGACCAGATACACCCCCATCATCAACCAGGTTGAACCCTGATAGCCCCCCCAGGAGACCAGATACACCCCCATCATCAACCAGGTTGAACCCCTCATAACCTACTCCCCAGGAGACCAGATACACCACCATCATCAACCAGGTTGAACCCTGATAGCCCCCCAGGAGACCAGATACACCCCATCATCAACCAGGTTGAACCCTGATAACCTACTCCCCTGGAGACCAGATACACCACCATCATCAACCAGGTTGAACCCCTGATAACCCCCCAGGAGACCAGATACACCCCCCATCATCAACCAGGTTGAACCCTGATAACCCCCCCTCCCCAGGAGACCAGATACACCCCCATCATCAACCAGGTTGAACCCTTCATAACCCACTCCCTAGGAGACCAGATACACCCCCATCATCAACCAGGTTGAACCCTGATAACCCCCAACCCCCAGGAGACCAGATACACCCCCATCATCAACCAGGTTGAACCCTGATAGCCCCCAACCCCCAGGAGACCAGATACACCCCCATCATCAACCAGGTTGAACCCTGATAACCCCCCCTCCCCAGGAGACCAGATACACCACCATCATCAACCAGGTTGAACCCTGATAGCCCCCCAGGAGACCAGATACACCCCCATCATCAACCAGGTTGCACCCTGATAACCCCACCCCCCAGGAGACCAGATACACCCCCATCATCAACCAGGTTGAACCCTGATAGCCCCCAACCCCCAGGAGACCAGATACACCACCATCATCAACCAGGTTGAACCCTGATAACCCCCCCCTCCCCAGGAGACCAGATACACCCCCATCATCAACCAGGTTGAACCCTGATAACCCCCAACCCCCAGGAGACCAGATACACCCCCATCATCAACCAGGTTGAACCCTGATAACCCCCAACCCCCAGGAGACCAGATACACCACCATCATCAACCAGGTTGAACCCTGATAACCCCCACCCCCCAGGAGACCAGATACACCCCCATCATCAAGCAGGTTGAACCCCTGATAACCCACTCCCCAGGAGACCAGATACACCCCCATCATCAACCAGGTTGAACCCCTCATAACCTACTCCCCAGGAGACCAGATACACCACCATAATCAACCAGGTTGAACCCTGATAACCCCCAACCCCCAGGAGACCAGATACACCCCCATCATCAACCAGGTTGAAACCTGATAGCCCCCCAGGAGACCAGATACACCCCCATCATCAACCAGGTTGAACCCTGATAACCCCCAACCCCCAGGAGACCAGATACACCACCATCATCAACCAGGTTGAACCCTGATAACCCCCACCCCCCAGGAGACCAGATACACCCCCATCATCAACCAGGTTGAACCCCTCATAACCTACTCCCCAGGAGACCAGATACACCCCCCATCATCAAGCAGGTTGAACCCTGATAACCCCCACCCCCCAGGAGACTAGATACAACCCCATCATCAACCAGGTTGAACCCCTCATAACCTACTCCCCAGGAGACCAGATACACCACCATAATCAACCAGGTTGAACCCTGATAACCCCCATCCCCCAGGAGACCAGATACATACCCATCATCAACCAGGTTGAACCCCTCATAACCTACTCCCCAGGAGACCAGATACACCCCCATCATCAACCAGGTTGAACCCTGATAACCCCCATCCCCCAGGAGACCAGATACACCCCCATCATCAACCAGGTTGAACCCTGATAACCTACTCCCCAGGAGACCAGATACACCCCCATCATCAACCAGGTTGAACACCTCATAACAAATTTATAAAAAATTATAACAGAAATATAAGTATTCAGACCCTTTACTCAGTACTTTGTTTAGGCACCTTTGGCAGCGATTACAGCCTTGAGTCTTCTTGGGTATGGCGCTACAAGCTTGGCACACCTGTTTTTGGGGAGTTTCTCCCATTCTTCTCTGCAGATCCTCTCAGGCTCAGTCAGGTTGGATGGGGAGCGTCGCTGCACAGCTATTTTCAGCTCTCTCCAGAGATGTGGTTCATTCGATCGGGTTCAAGTCCGGGCTCTGTCTGGGCCACTCAAGGACATTCAGAGACTTGTCCCGAAGCCACTCCTGCGTTGTCTGGGATGTGTGCTTAGGGTCGTTGTCCTGCTGGAAGGCGAATCTTCACTCCAGTCTGAGGTCCTGATTGCTATGGAGCAGGTTGTCATCCCAGATCTCTCTGTACTTTGCTCCGTTCATCTTTCCCTTGATCCTGACTAGTCTCCCATCCCCACAGCATGATGCTGCCAGCACCATGCTTCACCGTAGGGATGGTGTCAGGTTTCCTCCAGACTTGACGCTTTGGCATTCAGGCCAAAGAGTTCAAGCTTGGTTTCATCAGACCATAGAATCTTGTTTCTCATGGTCTGAGAGTCCTTTAGATGCCTTTTGACAACCTCCAAGCGGGCTGTCATGTGCCTTTTACTCTGGTACCCTTCCCCAGATATGTGCCATCGACACAATCCTGTCTCGGAGCTCTACGGACAATTCCTTCGACCTCATGGCTTGGTTTTTGCTCTGACATGCAATGTCAACTGTGGGATCTTATATAGACAGGTGTATGCCTTTCCAAATCATGTCCAATCAATTTAATTAACCACAGGTGGACTCCAAACAAGTTGTAGAAACAGCTCAAGGATGATCAATGGAAACAGGATGCACCTGAGCTCAATTTTGAGTCTCATAGCAAATGGTCTGAATACTTATGTAAATAAGGTATTTCTGTTTATAAATTTTAATAAATTTGAAAACATTTCTAAAACCCTGTTTTCGCTTTGTCATTATGGGGTATTGTGTGTAGATTGATGAGGGAAAACATTAATTTAATCAATTTTAGAATAAGGCTGTAACGTAACAAAATGTGGGAAAAGTCAAGGGGTCTGAATACTTTGTTTATTCATAAGGCTTATTGATGTCAATAACTTTAATGTTTTTAATCAATGAACACAAAAATGCCTGTGATTGATTATCCACTACTTAGCAGGAGGCTGGCATAGTCTAAGGCTAGGTGGAGATGTAAAGGTAATACTGCTAATGACTGGCACTTGATTCATGTTCAGATGGGCGTGATTGAAATACTTTATTTATTGTTTCAGTGTCCAGTGCATCTGGGGGCAAACAATTTCCCCATTCTAGAAATTCTTGCCAATAGAACTTGTTAAGTCATCTGCAGTACATTGAAATGATTGCCAATAGAACTTCCAAGGAGGTAAGTCATCTGCAGTACATTGAAATTATTGCCAGTAGAACTTCCAAGGAGGTAAGTCATCTGCAGTACATTGAAATGATTGCCAATAGAACTTCCAAGGAGGTAAGTCATCTGCAGTACATTGAAATGATTGCCAGTAGAACTTCCAAGGAGGTAAGTCATCTGCAGTACATTGAAATGATTGCCAGTAGAACTTCCAAGGAGGTAAGTCATCTGCAGTACATTGAAATGATTGCCAGTAGAACTTCCAAGGAGGTAAGTCATCTGCAGTACATTGAAATTATTGCCAGTAGAACTTCCAAGGAGGTAAGTCATCTGCAGTACATTGAAATGATTGCCAATAGATCTTCCAAGGAGGTAAGTCATCTGCAGTACATTGAAATGATTGCCAGTAGAACTTCCAAGGAGGTAAGTCATCTGCAGTACATTGAAATGATTGCCAGTAGAACTTCCAAGGAGGTAAGTCATCTGCAGAACATTGAAATGATTGCCAATAGAACTTCCAAGGAGGTAAGTCATCTGCAGTACATTGAAATGATTGCCAATAGAACTTCCAAGGAGGTAAGTCATCTGCAGTACATTGAAATGATTGTGACTGTATTTACTGAGCCTTTACTAGTCCTTTATTAACCCACTGATGTAGCCGTCTGTAGCGTGGACTAAATATTTTTTTTCAGCATCCCCACAATTATTTTCATAATTCTTCAAACTCTGTCAAGATGTTGGGGATCATGACAGCAGTTTCAAGTCTTACCATGGATTTTCAATGAGATTTAAGTTGAAAATCTAACTTGGCCACTCAGGAACATTCACTGTCTTCTTGGTAAGCAACTCCAGTTTAGATTTGGCTTTGCGTTGTAGGTTATTGTCTTGCTGAAAGGTGTATTCCTCTCCCAGTGTCTCAGGAATGTTTAATGTTGGATTTGCCCCAAACATAAGGCTTTGCATTTAGGCCAAAACGTGTATTCCTTTGCAGGGTGTTTCTTGCAGTATTACTTTAGTTCCTTGTTGTACCAGATGCATGTTTGGGAGTATTTCTATTCTGTATATTTCTATCCTTCTGTTCAATCTATCATCAAAGTCAGTATTGTGGAGTCACTACAATGTTGTTGATCCATCCTAATTTTTCTCCCATCACAGCCATTGAACTCTGTAACTTTTTTTAAATCACCAATGGCCTCATGGTAACATCCCTGAGCAGTTTCATTCCTGTCCTGAAGCTCAGTTCAGAAGGACGACTGTATCTTTGATGTGTCTGGGTGGTTTAATACATACTGTATTTATTAACTTGACCATGCTTAAAGAGATATTCAGTGTCTGATTTGTTATTGTTACCCATCGACCAATCCAATCACTGCCCTTCTTTATGAGGCTTTCGAAAAGCTCCCTGGTCTTTGTAGTTTAATCTGTGCTTGAAATTCAATACTTGACTGAGGGACCTTACAGATGCTATATGTATGGGGGACAGAGGAAGGGGTAGTCATTCAAAAATCATATCAACCACTATTATTTCACAGAGTGAGTCCAGGTAACTTATTATGTGATTTGTTAAGTCGAATTTTACTCCTGAACTAATTTAAGCTTAAACAAAAGGGCTGAATACTTATGCAATGACTATATCTAATTTGTATTCATCTCTTTAAAAAAAAGATCTTCCACTTTGACATTACAATTAAATCCATTTTTATCCGACTTTGTAACCCAATAAAATATGAAGAAATCCAAGAGGTCTGAATACTTTAGCAAGACACTGTATGTACCGTAGTTAAAAATATATATATATATATATATTTGAGAGGAGAAGAAGGCGTCAGACCGACGTGAGACAAGGTGCAAATAAATAAATTAAAGGGGCAGTGTCTTATTTTGAGACATTGTCTAATTCTCTGTCTGGTAATAATAATTAATTGTATTTTGCAAAGTGGTTTCTTGCATCATACAACACAATACAATGCAATTTACAATCAGCTATTTGGCCCATGAAGTTACAGACCAAGTAAGAAATAATTAATAATTAATGTCAAGCCCTTCATAATGTGAAAACGTTTTTAAAAGTCTCATTCAATGTAAGCCTTCATTGAAACCCCACATATAGGCTACTGTAGGCTTTATCATAGAAATCAAAAGCTATTTCCATGTGAAAATGTTATGGGATTTACTCCATTGGTTTTGTTGGTAGGTCTACATTATGCTCAAATAGACACAATAACCTATTGGCTACTGTCTACAACTGTAAGGGTACAGCCTATTGGCTGCTGTCTACAACTGTAAGGGTACAGCCTATTGGCTACTGTCTAAAACTGTCAGGGTACAGCCTATTGGCTACTGTCTAAAACTGTCAGGGTACAGCCTATTGGCTACTGTCTACAACTGTAAGGGTACAGCATATTGGCTACTGTCTATAACTGTAAGGGTACATCCTATTGGCTACTGTCTACAACTGTCAGGGTACAGCCTATTGGCTACTGTCTACAACTGTAAGGGTACAGCCTATTGGCTACTGTCTATAACTGTAAGGGTACATCCTATTGGCTACTGTCTATAACTGTAAGGGTACAGCCTATTGGCTACTGTCTATAACTGTAAGGGTACATCCTATTGGCTACTGTCTACAACTGTAAGGGTACAGCCTATTGGCTACTGTCTATAACTGTAAGGGTACATCCTATTGGCTACTGTCTATAACTGTAAGGGTACATCCTATTGGCTACTGTCTAAAACTGTAAGGGTACAGCCTATTGGCTACTGTCTACAACTGTAAGGGTACAGCCTATTGGCTACTGTCTATAACTGTAAGGGTACAGCCTATTGGCTACTGTCTAAAACTGTCAGGGTACAGCCTATTGGCTACTGTCTAAAACTGTAAGGGTACATCCTATTGGCTACTGTCTACAACTGTAAGGGTACAGCCTATTGGCTACTGTCTACAACTGTAAGGGTACAGCCTATTGGCTACTGTCTAAAACTGTAAGGGTACAGCCTATTGGCTACTGTCTAAAACTGTCAGTGTACATCCTATTGGCTACTGTCTAAAATTGTTAGGGTACATCCTATTGGCTATTGTCTAAAACTGTCAGGGTACAGCCTATTGGCTACTGTCTAAAACTGTCAGGGTACAGCCTATTGGCTACTGTCTACAACTGTAAGGGTACAGCCTATTGGCTACTGTCTACAACTGTAAGGGTACATCCTATTGGCTACTGTCTAAAACTGTCAGGG